TTGTATACAAAATTATATCCCACATACTCAATTCTGACATTCCCATGACGTATATACTTGTATCACACAGCGACGAGGTCACATGTACAAGCTGCTGGTGTGTCTGAGTCCGTTCCTTTGGGGGGGCTTCGTGTCTATCAGCCGCACGCGCGACTACTACCACGACTTCGATGACATCGCCGTGGGTGCGATCATAGGCACTGTCATTGCGTCTCTATGTTACTTTCTCAATTACCCTGGGTTGTCATCGCGCAAGAGTGAGAGTCCCGTGAATAGAGCGGATGGTATAAACTCGTTCAGTAGGTGTAGGGGAGATGATGTTGAACGCGCGTACGAGACTATAGGGTCTCATGATGCTGACGATGTCTAACTTGTCTGCGTGCAGGATGCATACACATAGCTGTAAGGTTTACACGCGTGTGTATGCATCTACTTAGTCTAGATGCCGAATACGATGGATACATCTGTGTATTGGTATGCATGTATGTATCTTCGTGTGCACAGAAAAATAAGTACACCAAATCCATGTACAGAACAAGTCACGCATATGCACATCAGGATGTGTGTGCCAGGTTCTGAAAATGCCAAAATCGAATTAGGATTTTTTTTTTGCAACGGGGATATCTGGTCCGAATTATGCGACGGCACATTGGCAATAGTGTAGAAGCTTAAGGCGCCAGCGGAATGCGAAAGTGTAAAAACTATCTTGTGATAAATAGACCCAGGATTAACTGTGGCTGGTTTACGGCTATGTAACACCCGGGATAGAATGCTGATGATTCGTTTAGTTTAGTGCTAGTTGTGGAATAGAAATTTGGACACAAATTTGGAATGGGATTAAGAACACGTATGTAGGTGGCAGGGCTTCTAGCTGTTCCCCTGCGCGAAGAATTTGGAACTAATTCAAGCGCAAAATGTGGTGTAGAGATGAGGAGTCCAGCTTGTATTGGAATAAAGACTCCATGGGCATATATGTAGATGGGCGGGCCTCAGGTTTACGTCCGAGAACCAAGTTTTTTTTTGAAGTTTGATCTTATGTCAAAGATATGGCAAACGAACGGAGACGTGTGGGTTCGTTACGTCTGTGTTATCGTTGAAGTATGTCGTTGAGTGAACTTGCTTCTACCACGCACAACTGGCCTCTATTGCGCAACATCAACCTGAGGGAGTCTGTACGGTATATAAGGCTAATACACTCACAGATTGTACATTCAACTAGTCTATATAAGGCTAATACACACACAGGTTGTATATTCAACTAGTCTGTACGGTATATAAGGCTAATAAGTCGCACGTAGTTTGAATATTCAATTCAAGATTCATGCCATTCCTGGATAAAAACCATGTTTACCTCACACGATAAAAACCATGTTTACCTCACACAACGGACCAGCCGGATCCAATCTCAACGCGTTTCTACCTTTTTAGTTTATTTATTTGGATTGGAATATCGCGTCATTCATATGCTATCCAGGTATATCTCAGCACAAGGTTTTACTTGCGATTCTAGAATGTGGTCCCATCTCATAACATATCGTAATGTTCTGGCTAATTGATTGTGACCAAACGCTTGACGATCTACAAGGGCAAGATGGAACGCAACGATAACCTAGGTATTCAGTTTGTCCGAGTTTGTGGTGTATATGAAGATATGGGAATCCAATTATTGACATACTTGCCGCTGCACCTTCGCGCAGAGGCCGTCTGCGCCACTTGTATGCTCTGCGGCGGTGCTCACCACGCAATGAATATTACTCACAAATTTGACCGATCTAATCCAAACTCGAGATTGTATTCATATTTTTAGGTACATTTATTGAGGTAAAAAACCGAATTATTCACATGCAAAAAAAAAGAGGATTTGATCTCGTACTTATATTTATATGTTTTAGGTCCATTTCGAGGGTAGCCATCGGACTAATCCACATACATCGATTCATACCTTAAGCTTTATACATTCGTTAATAACTTGCTTTATACATCCATTAATATCTAAAGCTTTATACATCCATTAATACCTGAAGCTTTATACATCCATTAATATCTTATGCTTCATACATCCATTTATAACTAAAGCTGCATACATCCTATAATAACTTAAGCTTTATACATCCATTAACAACTTAAGCTTCATACATCCATTAATAACTTAAGCTTTATACATCCATTAATATCTCAGCGCATGCCTTCTTTGCGCTTCTTATAGGCTCTGCGGATGCGTTCATGGCCCGCCTCCGTAACAAAGAATTGATTGTTGGCGGTATTCGCCCATATTAAGACATCTGAGGCAATTTTTTTTATGGGGTGGGGGTGAGAAAACAGATTAGCGGGTGAGTACACCAATAAACACGTGCGCGTACAAGCTTATTACCCTTTTCATTTCTTCTCCGATATTTGCCTGTAGATGCAAATCTGTGCCATATTCAGGCGTGTGTGTGCGTGTGTGTGCGCGCGCGCGTGTGTGTGTGGGTGGGGGGGGTGAGGTAGGCACCAGACATGCATGTACTTGTAGCGATATCTCATGTTTGCGGTCTATACTATACAAGCACATCAATGGCATTTTATGACAGAGAAGGGGGCAATTAAGGGGGCAACACGAAAACGTTGAGGAGATTTTCTACACCGACAAAGGCACGTGCGCATATCGGGTGCTGCCAAGGGTAATACAGCCCAACAGAACTAATGCTCACACAAACAGTACCCCAATAAACAGATGAACCGAATCTTTCTAGTGGAGTTTGCACACAATCGAATGCACGCACACTCACGCACAGAATCGCATACGCACACAGCCTCATCATCACACACACGCAATGGCATACACACTCAGACTCATCACTACAAGCACACTGGCCACCACACGCGCGTACGATTCAGCACGAGTCTAGACAGCCCCCCCCCACCCTTAAAAACAAATTTGTATCAGAACATTGATGTGAACATACACATAAAGCACACCTACTCATGCGAACAGATACACACTCACACTCATACTATCTTGTGAACGTGCCCACAAGCACGCACTCACAAACAAACGCAAGTGCACATCCATACCGAAATCGATCGCAGCCTTGTGTACAAACTTCGCATCCTCCTCGTTGGGGAAATCTTGATACAGATAGCCTTCGTTAAACACCAGCCTGTCACGCTCCTTCTCCCACATCATGATCTGATCCGTCACATTCACTGGGATAACGGGCGTCAGTGTACGCATCTGGGGGTGTGCGTGGGTTTGTATGTAGCCCACAATCTGGTTACCGGCGATTCCTGGAGTGGTGTTGAATGGGTGTAATGGTACGTGTGAAGATAGGTGCATACACACATATATAAAAGCAA